CCCAGACTAGAGTGCAGTGGCCGCTCCCGGCCACCGCAGCCTCACCTGCTGGGCTCCTGCAATCCTTCCGCCTCAGCCTTCCAAGTAGAATTAAACAGATTTTTTTAAAGTATTACAAAATTTTTAACTTTCATCAGCTTCAAGGTTTATGTTGCTCCCGAGTTTTGCATTTCAAATCTGCTAACACCCACTGAATGGATTCCACTCTGGATTCTAAGGCGTCAGTTTCTTCTTACAAATTTTTCTTTGCTTCTTCTAACATTTCTTATGTTTCTTCTTGAGAATGGCTAATGAAAACATCACTAATTTGATAAAGTATCATTAAGCAGTTGTTGTCCGCAAGCATGATGTCATCACAAGCATCTTCTAAATTTTGGAGCTCCCAAATGTGTGGGATTACAGGCTGAGCTACCGAGACCGGTTCTTTTTCAAACTTTTAAAAACAAAAAGCGATGGCTGGCCTGGCACAGTGGTTTACTCCTGTAATCCCAGCACTTTGGGAGGCAGAGGTGAGAGAATTGCCTGCGTCCCGGGATTTGAGACCAGCCTAGGCAACTTGGCGAGACCTTGTCTCCACAATTAATCAAAAAATCAGCCGGGCGTGGTAGCGCATGCCTGTAGTTCCGGCTACTTGGAAGGCTGAGGTGGAAGGATCGCCGGAGCCCAGCAAGTCGAGGCTGTGGTGGCCGGGAGTGGCCACTGTACTCCAGTCTGGGGGACACAGTGAGACTCCAACTCAAAAATAAATAAATAAATAAATAATAAATAAAAATACAATGACCAATTGTATACCTAACCTTGAATTGTACCCTGTATCTTTAAAAATAAAAACATTAAAACAATTTATTTTTTGAGTCGGAGTCTCACTCTGTCGCCCAGACTGGAGTGCAGTGGCATGCTCATGGTCACTGCAGCCTCAACCTGTTGGGCTCCGGCGATCCTTCTGCCTCAGCCTTCCAGGTAGCTGGAACTACAGGCGCGCGCTACCACGCCCACTAATTTTTTTGATTTATTGTAGAGATGAGGTCTCACCAAGTTGCCCAGGCGGGTCTCGAACCCGTGGGCTCAGGCAATTCACTCACCTCGGCCTCCCAAAGCACAGGATTACAAGCTGAGCCACCAAGTCTGGCAAGAATTTTTTAATGTTTGAAAAATAAAAATGCATATAATGACCTGTGTTTTGCCTACTCATAGGAGTGTTATGAGGATCATATTTGTATGGACTCAGACAGTCTTCTCACCTCGACCTCCCAGAGTGTTGGGATTATAGGCGTAAGCCACAGCGCCCAGTCTTGTATATTGAAATTTAAATAAGACCGCCAACCTTAGGGAAAGGACCCCAGTCACAACTTCTCATCTGGGGCTTTTCCTGGGCCACTAGAAAGATGGAGATCTTCATTCAAGAATGGAGAGGTCTAGTAAATGCTTTTTTTTTCCTTTGGTGGGGAGAAGGTTGTTTGGGGGCTACCGTATTTCATTGGATATGAGATAACACCAAATGTAAAACACCATTATTTTATGCTTTACTGAGGAAGAGAGCAAAAAATTGCTAAACTATAATACAACTTCAGTTATACACCTAGATATCTGAGATACTCTGTCTAAAAATGTTAACACTGAAATAAATGAAACACAGTACTGTAGCCGCACTCTCTCTTCCTCTTAGGTGGGATAGACCATCATACCAACACCATCCTCCCAGTCACTCTGCCTCAAACCTGATGCCTTCCTTCTCCTGAACACTTCTCCATCCTCAAGCCATCAAACCATTTAGCAAGTCCGGCCTTTTCCACTCGTGCTACCTTGCCTCATGATCTCTCACCTGCACCACTGCTCATCTTACCTCTCCAATCCATTATTCATGCCGCAGCCCTAGTGATCTTTCTAAACCTATGTTCATCTCACACCCCTGCTTGGACATTTCCATTGGCTGCTTTTCCTACAGGGTGAGCTCTGTTTAACTTGGCATTCGGCTTTTCACAAGCTGGGCTCTGCCTGCCATTTCACTCTCTTGACATTTCCTCCAAATGAAAGTACTTGCTGCTTCCCCCAAAGCACCATGTTTTTAAGGCCTGCAGGCTTTTGCGCCAGCTGTCTGTGCTTGGACTGTTCTTCCTCAACAAGTATTTATTGAACACGGAGTATGTGCTGGGAACTGAGGCAGGGTGAGCAAGGCAGGCAAAAGTTCAATCTCAGAGAGACCAGTGGGAGAGAGAAAAAAAACGTAAGCATACACATGAATTAACTCTAAGTACACATGGTGGGCATTTGTAAAGGTTTGTTGAAAGTGTCTAGCCGGGCTCAGTGGCTCAGCCTGTAATCCCGCGCCTTGGGAGGCTGAGGTGAGTGGATTGCCTGAGCCCACGAGTTCGAGACCCGCCTGGGCAACGTAGTGAGACCTCATCTCTACAATACATCAAAAAATTAGCGGGCGTGGTAGCGCGCGCCTGTAGTTCCAGCTACTTGGAAGGCTGAGGCAGAAGGATCGCGCCCCCCAGCAGGTCGAGGTTGCAGTGGCTGGGAGCGTCCACTGCATTCCAGTCTGGGCGACAGAGTGAGACTCCAACTCAAAAAAACAAAACAAAACAAAGAAAATGTCAGTCACGGCCTCAGAAAGTTCAGAACTCAAATTGGGTCCAGGAGGCAATGCAAAGTAGATTACAACCCTGGATCTACCAGAACCTATGTGACTTTGGGCAACTATCGGCGCCTCCGTCTCTGTGTAATGTAAGTAATAATGTCAGCCTCATAGCATCTCGGGGAGGATTTAGTATGAGATACATATAATCACGCGGTTTCCGCTGGGCCTGAGGGGCCCCTCCCCCACACCCCCAGGGCGCCGAGGGTCTGCCCGCCCAGGGCCCAGGTCCCGCAGGGGGCTGCGGGCGCGACTGGTGCGCACGAACCTGCCACTTTTAGAGGGGGCCCAGACCGCAGCCGCCAGAGGCAGGGGCAGGGGACGGTGGAGGCCTGGAGAGGGGAGCAACGCCCCGCCCCATCTCCCCACTTTGGGGGCCTGCCCCCCTCGTTCATTCCACCCCCGCCCTTGAATCACGGGGGGGGGCGGGGCCGTGACCCATTCATGCCGGGAATCGGATCCAGATGTTCCCGCGGCGCGTGCAGCTGCATCCTTGCCTTTTTTGGCAAAAAACGTGCGGCCGAGCGGATCCCGGCCGCCCCCGCTAATCCTTGGGAAGAGAGAGAAGGGGGTTGAGGGTCCGGGCCCAGACTGAGCTTCAGAACCAGGTGCTTGCTATGAGAGATTTGGGCAGGGCTGTTAGGGGAGGGGGACGATTTGTATCAGATGAAGGAACCCAGGGCAACCCCCTCCCCCCCACGCTCCTGTCTGGAACTTTCCCAAACCCCTCCCTTCCCTACAGTGGAAAAACCCTCTGCCAGCAGGGGGGAGGCAGGCCAAGCTGAGGGGCCATAGCTGTGGCGGGGATCCCCTTCCTGGGGAGACTCCCACCCCCGTGGTCCTGCCCCCCTCTACCCCACCCGGCAGGGAGGAGGTCTAGGAGAGATTCAGAGTCTCCAGTCTGTGAAGGCAGCTTCTTCACAGGACAAACACACGGACAAACTCCCTCTACACAGGACAAACACATGTAGTTCTTCACATTGCTTTATTGCAGACTCAGGAAGGGGGTGAGCCAATCCCACCCCTTGCCCATCTCTGGGCAAAATGGAGCTGAAATAAAATGCCAAAATGTGAAGACACTCAACAGACACAGGCTGGGCAGTACCCTGTACCCTAGAACCCCCTAATCACTGAGCCCCTGATCTGCTTCCCAGACAGCCCCAGCCCTGGGGATAGGGATGGGATGGAGTGGATCAAGCCTGAGTACAGTCCACTTTTGAAGACTTCTCAGGCACCCAGAGGAGACCTAAAGTCTATGAAGAGAAGTCTAGATTTAAGGGGGGCCTAGGTCCCAGAGTCTGGGATTGGAGGGCTGGGGTCTAGAGTCCTGATGTGGGGAGAGGGCTTGGTCTGGGAACCCAAACTGTAGAAGATAGGACTTAGCTCTGGAGTCCAAGTTTGGGGAGAGGGCGTGAATCATGGAGGCCCTATAAGAGCCCAGCTTTGGGGGCCTGGGTCAGGGAGTACCAGTTTGGGGATGTTGGAGTGGGGAGACTGAATCCTGGAGCCCAGGGGAAGACCCATTTTGCGGAGGAGCTGGGTCCCAGAGGTGGTTTTGAAAAGGAGTCATGGTCCTGGGGGAGCCCTGGTATGGGAAAGCCTGGGTCCAGGAGCACTGGCTCAGGGACCTGCCTGGCTGCAGCCCTGGCACAACACTTGGTCTCCATCCGGCACAAAGCCTTGGCCCACCAGGGAGGTAGAGCAGCGGGCACAGGAGAAGCAGCTGTGGTGCCAGTGTCGGTCTTCAAAGGACACATACTTGCCTCCACCGAGTCCTAGAGGGAAGCTGGAGGTTAGCTCTGCAGATCTGGGGGCTAGGAGGTCATACCTTCAACCTCACCCAATATAACATCCCACTCCCTTCCCTGCACTCTACCCATTCCATTCTCTGACCCATGCCCACCTACGATGGGGCGCTTGCAGCTGCTGCACTTAGGTGCAAAGAGTTCTCCAAAACAGGCCACGCAGTAGGGATCTTCATCCCGGGAGGTGAACTGCTGTCCTGCCAGGGGCGTCTGGCACCCGGTACAGACCAGACATTCTCGATGCCAGGGCTGATCACGGTATGTCACTCCACCCTGTGTCAGCGTCTGTGGGGGCAGCATCCATCAGTGGGGATGAGTAGGGATTTCCACCCCACAACAGGCCTACTCACCCCCACCCTGCTGGCCCAGCCCCAACCTTGCTGCAGCGGGCGCAGCGAGGCGCGAACTTGTTCTCATAGCAGGGCACGCAGTAGTGAGCACCCTTGTCGGGCACAAAAGAACGGGAGCCCAGTGGCTGCTCACAGCCGCTGCACAGGAAGCAGTGCTCATGCCACGTCTGACCTCCATACTCCAGCTTCCGGGACCCTATGGGGAACAGGGGTTCCACTCAGAGGCTGTGTCCTAAGCTCCTGAGGGCCACCCTCTGTTACTTCCCCAGGAGAGTCTCCACTGCTCCCATAGCTTGAGCAGGGTGGTATGCATGCACATGCAGCAGGCTCCCACCATGTATTTAACACATGCCAACCTCTCCTCAAACACTGGACATGCTAGGCCCCTCCTCTCGGGAACTAGACATGAGGGTCTTGGCATATGTTAAGCCCCATATATCCTATATGTGACTATCTCAGCACACATCAAGTCTCCATGTAGCAGTCATGAAGCTTCAGTACATGCTAAGCCCTTATGCACCAGACATGATGGTTTTAGCACACACACAAGACCCCACATATACCAGGCAAGCAAGTCTCTGCCCAAAGTTCTAATGCCCTGGGCATGACAGGTTCAGTACATGCCCTTGCATCTCCTAGGTATGCCATTATCCACATGTGCTGAGTTCCCATACATTAAGCCCTTAGTGTATCAGTCTCTGTATACATTGAGCCCCAATGCACCAAGAGTGACTGTCTTAGCCTACCTTTAGCTCCTACATGTACCAAACATGCAGATCTTCACACATGCTAAGCCCCCAGGTATGTATCAAGCATGTCAATCTATCCACACATAGTAAGCCCCCAGGTGTGTGTACCAGGCCTACTGGTCCGGCACATACTAAGCTCTTAGCAATGTATCAAGCTTGTCAGTTTCTGCATATGTACAGGTCTCTGCACATACCAAGCCTCCATGTACCAGACAGGCACATGCAAGGATTCTACCCAGATGCCAAGCATGCCAGTGGCTGCACAAGATGAGCCCTTGGAGACGTACCAGGCATGACAGTTTCCCCGCAGGCAGAGCACTGTGAGGAGAAGGCACTGCAGTAGCAGTCATTGCAGAGCAGCTCACTGTCCTGGCAGGTGAAGGGTTCATCAGCTAGGGAGCGCTGGCAGCGGCAGCAGCGGAAACAGCCCTCATGGAAGTGGCGGTCTTCATAGAACAGCTCCTGTGCGGAGCAAAGCAGGGACACTGGCACCCAGGTCAGGTGGATTCATCCTTTCCCCTTCCTTCAGATTCCATCCACTCCCCGCCCTGCCTGGTTGCGTTCTTACCCTCGAGTCATGCCCGATGAGCTGCTGGCACTCAGCGCAGGTGTTGGCAAAGGTATTGTCATAGCAGGGTACACAGTAGGGGCCGCTGTCTGTCTGGATGTACTTTCGGCCATACAGGGACTCGCTGCATTTTGCACAGTCAAATGACTCGCTCATGGTGGCAACGGTGAGGGAGCTCTCCTGGAAGCATAAGGTGGAGCAGGGGTTACCCAAAGGGGCTGGGGCTTAGCCCCTGGCAAGCGCCCTTTGTATTCAAAAAAGAGCAAGAGACCAGACACAGGAAATGCCAGATCAGAGCAGGTGGGAAAGGGGTGCTTTTGGGAACCCAGAAGTCCTGCATGTTTCTTTCTGTATTTAACAGTGGGGGTGGGAAGAGGTCAGGAAAAAAATCAGGAAGCAGAAGTTGTTTTCTTATCTAGGTCTTGGCAGATCTGGGGGGAGGGGGCTTTTCCTGGGTCAATGACTCATTTCCTGTCCCAGCCAGAGTTTAGCCTCTACTGTCCTTATGGTCCCCAGGGTGGCAGGAGCATGGGCAGGGAGCCACCCCATCCTATTCCATATGAACAGCACTCCCACTCTCTCCTGACTCCTATGAAGAGACCCGAGGGATATAAATAAAGGAATTTTACCGGGGGCTCTGGAGTGGGGAGTCAGGGATGGAAACAGGCTACTCCCGCCCCCTCCTGATCCAGGAAGCAGTGGAATGCTAGAGGGATGCTGGACTATGAATGGCGGAGGCGGCCAGTATGAGAAGTTGGACCTCCCAGCCCAGAAGAATCAGCCAAGCAACTAGAACTTCAGAGGCTCAGTTAGGTTTAAACAGGAAGGAAATCCTGCAAGCTGGACACAACCAAGCTTCCCCAGCTGGACCCTCTGTCCTCATGCCCCTTCACCCCTGCTGTGCCTCTGGTTACCCCAGCCTGGGCAGCCTTGGCTTGCAACATCTGTAGCAGCTGTGGCAGCACATATGGCCAGATGTCAGAAAAAAGGAAAATGGGCTGCCTGAGGGGCAGAGAGGAACAGGAAACAGACTAGGGCAGGGTGCCCCTGCTACCCAGTGCCAGGCATCACTCCGGGAAGGCTAGTCTGGAGAGGCCCTGGGATCTTTCCATCCTCTGGGTCATTATTTCCCTCCCCCTGCCCCTTGGAGAGAGATAGTCTCTCCCCACCTTTTCTGATTTCTCGGGGTTTGTGACTGGGGAAGGGACAGAGAGCAAGAGCTATTTGAAGACATTTTCTCCCCAGTCAGGTTCCCTCTTGGGTGGGGAGCAGGGCATGGGGGAGCCCTGAGAGAGCTGCTGCTGCAGACACCCAGCCCCCCACCAAACCTCAGACACTTTTCATTTTCTCAGGAACAAAGCATGTTTGCAGGATGAGGTCATCCACACAGCTGCCTCTGGAACAGGAGTCTGGGGAGTGGGGCAGTAGGGAAGTGGGGTTCCCAGACCCTTTTGCTGCCCATGATTCCAGTCTCCAGCCCCAGAGTCGGAACTCCCCACCCCTCTCTCCTGTACCAAGAAGTCTGCTCTCTAAGGACCGGGATCCTGGAGTGGTGGAGCGGTACCACCAGGACCCATAGGAAGGGGATGTTCTCACAGCTGTGCATGAACCCAGGGGAGTTCAAGGGACAAGGGAACCCATCAACCCACATCTCCCATTAGACCCCAGTGACTGGCAGTCCCTAAAGCCTGCCTAGGCTCAAGTTGAAGGAAAAAGAGGATTTTTCTCATTCGCCCCCAGTGGGAAATTCTGGGCAACAAGCAATGCTCTGGCTTGAAGTTCAGACTCCAGGCACCAGCAGATGCCTCCAGCCTAGAGGCCTGACTCTTCCGACGAAGAGACGCCTTCCATACAATGGGAGAACACCCAGCTTGAAAGCCAGGTCAGGGCACAATGCCACCAGGGACTCCTAGGGTGGAAGCCATTCTTTTTTTAGCCTGCCCCTGAGCTCTTTTGTAGGGTGGAGATACCCCTCCTTTTCAGTTCCCTCCCAACACTCAGGCCCAGGTTTCCTCTGGCTCAACATCTGAGGATTGCCTGGGCTGTCAGCCACAGGGCAGTAGGGGCCACACAGGTGGAATGTGTCCATGGTGGGGGGTACCCTGGGTCTTTTCTTTCCTTCCTGGCTTGGCCTGCAGCAGCTGCCACCTTCCCAGGCTAGCCATGGTCCACCCCCTGGGAAGTAGTCACCACTCTAAGACAGAGGCACCCCAAATAGGGTATGAGCGTGGTTTCTATTTCCTTCCCAGAATCTCCCAGTGTCCTAGTCTATCCAGCTGGACCCTGCTGAGGACAGAGGAAGGGCACCATTAAGGCCCACCTGTCTCTGCCCGTCCCCCCCTCCCTCCTTCCTCCCTCTTTCCCTGGCGAGGATAGGGGACTGGGGGAATTGGAGGGAGCCACCCTTGTATTCCTTCCTGTCTGGTAAAGGGGAGAGTTTGGGGGAGACTACTCTTCTGCAGATGACTCTCAGCCTCTTACCCCCACCCCCCCAACAAGGCACCTCCTAGTGAACCTGCAGGAGTCAGAATAGCTGTATAACTGGCTGCCATGTGTGAAGCAGCTTGAGCTGCAAGATATAAACCTGGGTTTGAGTCTCGGCGCCTTCACTTACTAGCTGGGTCAACTTGGGCAAGTCATTCGAGCTTTCTGAGTTTATTTTCCCATCTAATTAAATGAGATACCACTACTTCCTACCTCCTTGAGTCATTGTCAGGCTTAAATGCGATGATACTTGGAAAGTACCTGGCAATAATAAATGCTCAGTAAATAAATGGTAGCTAAGCCAGATGTGGTAGCTCACGCCTGTAATCCCGGCACTTTGGGAGCAGAGTCGAGAGGACTGCCTGAGCTCAGGGGTCTGAAATCAGTCTGGGCAACATGGCAAGACCTTAGTTCTACAATAAATTAAAAAATTAAGCCGGGCTTCATGGCTCAGCCTGTAATCCTGCGCCTTGGGAGGCTGAGGTGAGTGGATTGCCTGAGCCCGCGGGTTCATGACCCGCCTGGGCAACTTGGTGAGACCTCATCTCTACAATAAATAAAAAATTAGCCAGATGTGGTGGCTTGCGCCTGTGGCTCTGGCTACTTGGAAGGCTGAGGTAGAAGGATCGCCGGAGCCCAGCAGGTAGAGGCTGCAGTGGCCATGAGTGTGCCACTGCATTCCATCCTGGACAACAGTGAGACTCCAACTCAAAGTAAATAAATACATAAATAGATAAATAAATAGTAGCTGTTATATTTTCATTATTAGCCTCTCACTCATACAGGGGTCAGACAGCAGTTTCTCAGATAGGCCTGATTCAGGGAGCTGGCCTGGAATTTGACCTGGACATTCTCAGCATAGGCCCAGGAAGACAGCAGGAAGCCCCAGGCCCATGGGGTTTGCTGAGACCAGTGAGGCCAAGAGTGGTTCTAGCCTAGACAGCCTGACCCCAGTAAGCATAACTCTGAGACATCTCACAGGTCCACAGGTGGACACACCTGCATGCTGCTTTGCTCCTCACAAAGGACACGCCCACCACCTTCTCATCAGATCTCACAAAAGGCAGGGAGGATACAGTAGCATGCCCATATTACAGCTGAGCAGTAGGAGGCCAGGGATAGGGTAGGGTGTGCCCAAGGACACCTACGTATCAGAGTCCAGGTTGCTGTCCCCTAGCTTGGAGCACCCCCTTTCCCTAAAATTGCTGCCCTGGTGAAGGGGATGGTCAGCTTTTAAGGGCAGGGGGCAGGAGATGCGCCAGAGCCTGGCTCTCCTTCCCAGCTGCTAGCCCTGTGACTGGAAGACACCCAGAGCCTTTCCAGTTACCCGTGCCAATCACTCAACCCTTTTGTCCCCCACCCAACACTCCCCACTGTCCAGGAGGACCCTGGCCAGGCCTCACAGCTGTGAGTCAGGATCAGAACAGATCCCTCCCCCATCTCCCAAGAGTTGACAGGAGACTTAAAGGGGGAAACAGAACTTTCCCCACCCCCTTTTGCCAGGTTCCTACTCCAATCTCTGTTCTCCCCCATGCGGCCTGAAAGTTAGGGCAGTGTAGGGGAAAGGGGGTGGGGAGCAGGATTCCACCACTGCTCTGGGGACAGAAGAGGAACAGTTCATTTACCCGGGGTCCCCCAGGGCTGCAGCAGCCCTTCCAAGATTTGAGTTTAAAAATAAGTTGGGGGCTGGGTCGGGTGGCTCATTCCTGTAATCCCAGCACATTGGGAGGCCAGGGTGGGAGGATTGCTTGAGTCCAGGAGTTTGAGACCAGCCTAGGCAACATACAGAGGCCTACCAAAAAAAAATTAAATTAAATTAAAAAAGTAGCTGGGCGTGGTGGCATATGCCTGTAGTCCCAGCTACTTGGGCGGAAAGATTGCTTGAGCCCATAAGGTCAAGGCTGTAGGGAGCCGTAATTATGCCACCACATTCCAGCCAGGGCATCAGAGTGAGATCCTGACTCAAAAACAAATAAGTAAAATAAAATAAAAATAAGTTGGAGCTGTCTTGGTGGCTGTGTATGTGCATGGAGCTCCTTCCTGATCAATTTACTGTCTTAGGTCCTCTACTTGAGGGGGATGGGTTGGCTCAGAGTGTCAGCTTTCCCATAGCCTCATCCCCAGTCTTTTGGTCCCTGGCATCTTAGGGTCTGTCTTAGAAGCTGTCAGCCCACCTAGGTCTTTTTGCCTCCACTAAGTCCCAGTCTCTGGTGTCTAGCTGTGCTCCACTCAGCATCGCTCTGTGTCTGGGCACACTTCAGCTGCTGTCTTTACATTCTCCACGTCTCTATCTTGACTGGCTGTCTCCCAGCGGGCCCAGGCCTCTGTAGATCTCAAGTCTTGGTGTCTTAATGTCTCTATTGGGCTGAATGTCTCATTCCCACCCTCGGTTCTGCATCCAAGTCTCTGTTCCTTAGCATCTCTGCATGCCGGAGTGTCTCTGTCTCCAGCCTCTAAGAGACTCTGTAGGCCTCAGAGAGGCATATAATCTGCACGAGGCCAGTGAAAACTGAAGCCTCAGGGTCCTTTCAAGGCCCTCCCCAGTTTCCCCAGTGTTCACTGGGGTCATACGTATGCTTTTTCTTAAATTGCTCCACAAAGCCTGAGTCGCCCCCAGTCCTTGGTTCTGTTCACCGGTAACTCTGCGCCCAGTCTGTCCTTGTTTCAAGCATCTCGGTAGCCTCCTGTGGCTCGAGTC